CTCTCAGCCTTCTCTTCTCCAGGCTGAACAAGCCCAGCTCCCTCAGCCTCTCCTCGTAGGAGAGATGCTCCAGTCCCCTCCTCATCCTCATAGCCCTCCGCTGGACTCTCTCCAGTAGCTCCTCATCTTTCTTGGACTGGGGAGCCCAGAACTGGACCCAGTACTCCAGATGTATAAGCTCTCTTCCCGAAGAGGAGCGTACAGCAGCTAAAGTAAGGCCACATTTTCTCCTCAATTCCTAGCTGTGCTTGTATCCAAACTCAGAAGAGAGTACTGCTTCACCACCAACATAGATGGAACTGCTAAAAAAGCAGCAAACCACTGAAAATTATTTAGTCTGGGTAGACTCAACAGCAGTACACGCTCGAATGCTTCCAGTCTGCAAGACAAGAAATAAAACCACATCCCAAAGTGCCCGACTCCCAGAAAGCAGGCTCTTCTGACCGAAGGCGGGCAGGCAGGCCAGCCTGGTGCCACGTATGCTTCAGCTTTGCTTGAGTAGCTTGTTCCTTTGTAGCCATCGCTAGACTAGAATGGGGATGCCCACACTCTTAGTGGCTAAAAACTAAGTGAGCAAACTGAATCACATCTGGTAGCAGAACAAAGGAAAATGGCAGATGTTATTTGCAAGGAAACGGCAAAACTGGCCTTTAAATAAACCCCGAAAGCTGAACAAATGGTGCTCACCACGACTCTAGCACAGAATCATAGAATACGAGCGGTGCTGTCCAGCCAGATCAAAGGTTCAGTTTCTGCCTACAGAACTTTTATTCCACTGTTGTTACAGGGGTCCAAACTGTCGTTTTTATTCAAAATGAGTAAAACCACCCCACGAACACTGCTGAAACGAGGGGGCACCTCACACCACAAACTGAGTGTGTAACCACGGTGGACTAAGCGAGGAGTTCAGGAGCTCCATGGCTACAAACACTGCAAGCGCAGTCCTTACTTAAGGCCAGAATACGCAACGGAACCAAGCCGAAAGAAATGCTAAGTTGAGATGGAAGCTTTTTATCAATCAAAGCTATTT